CAGACTGCATCCTCAGACTGCATCCTCAGACTGCATCCTCAGACTGCCCTGAGCTCCTGTTTCTTCCCCCTTACATTCCTCTCTCCACTCAGTCATATCACTCCTGTCTCCACCTCCCTAGTGCTGGAAGTAAAGGCATGTGATCCCAAGTGCTGGAACCACCTTTGTGTGAGCTCTGTTTCTCTTTTAGACAGATTCAAGGTTGTATAGCCCAGGGTGGCCTTGAACTCACAGAGATCCATCTGCCTCTGTCTCCCGAGTGCTGGGATTAAAGGTTTGTGCCACCACTGCCTGGCCACTACAGCTAACCAGTGGCTTAGCTCTGTACTCTGATCTTCAGGCAAGCTTTGTTCGTTCTAGCGTAAACAAAATATCAATACAGCAAATGAGTTATGACATCAAAGACAAGGTTCTATATAATAGGACGATTTAGAAAAGTGATAATTTGCACTTCTTTTTCGAGGCAGGGTTTCTCGGTGTAACGGCTCTGGCTAACCTGGAACTAGCTCTGGAGAGCAGGCGGGCGAGGGGCGTCACAGTATGAGGAAGAATAGTAACAGCGACGTCAGGGTAGGAGGCAGCATGGCCACAGTGGGTCAGCCACACCTACTTTCTGCTGCAAAGAGTTAAAATTATGAAAACAGCCAAGGCTTGAGTGGATGAGCCCCGCTGCAGCCCACAGGGAATAACGACACAGGAGGGGTAGGAGTGTTGTGAGCTGGGAGGCGACGAGAGAAAGGCCGCACTACCCAGCTTGTTCCGAGCCACTCTTGCTGTGAAGACAATCAACCACGAGGCTATAATTCACTTCAAACAAAAAGAAATTCTAATTCCATTCCTTATGATAAAAACTATGCTTCCACCTTCTATACCAATCAAGTGGCAGCAAATGGCTGAGTCAAAATCATATTTTACCTCTTTTCCTTAATGTTAAGCGAGTGGGTGAATGTCGTCACAAAACTTAAGTGCACAAGCCATTGTGTTACACACTGACATGCAGAAAGCAAAATGACGTGTAGATGTCCAAAGGGAAATAGTCTCAGTAACATAAATAAAACGTACAAACTACTGGACAAAACCAGTGTGGGCACACACTGAATCCTCTGAAGAGCAGGCCTGGCCGTCATGTGATTTTAGGTTCACTGCTGCAGGCTAGCGCAGAACCGAGCTGAAAATAATTACGATTTGACGGTTAACGTAAGTTCAGCCAAGTTCACTAATATGTCTCTTTCCTTGCCAATCTCAAGCTGAGTTCAGCAGCTTTAAAACTGGGTTCTCAAGAAATGAATGACTTCCCATCTGGAAGGGGGCGTGATAAGGCAAGAAGGGGTGAAGAGGACATGTTGGCAAAGGATGGGGTGAATGCCTCAGAGTTATAGTCCACTCTTGGGGTTCAGTATGTTCCCCAAAACACCTGTGTACTACTCATGGCGCTGGCCCTATGGGAGTTCTCAGAGATTTTTCTACTTTCTAAAAGCTGTTAGCATATCTAAAAACCTAATATTCTACAAACCTATAATGTAAGTCAGTCACATTTCTTAGGTTTTAAAACACTTGTAATGACAAGAAGTAAAAATTAACATTATCAAGAGCAGGGCTCTGCTAACTTTTTCTTAGGGTGGTTTCCTGTTATTACATTGGTTTGCTTTGTGTGTTGTGCAGTGTGCACACCATCATGTGAAGGTCAGAGGACAACATTCGAAGTCAGTTCTCTCCACCGTGTAGGCTGTGGAGACGTGGAGACTGATCTCGTGGTGTCAGGCTTGGGGGCGAGCACCTTTACCTGCTAAGCCAAACCAAGCTGATTTTTCTGTAGTCTCTTGCTGAACACAGAAATCCTCGGTATAGACAGTCAGATAGGTGCTCTCCGGGCCTGTGGTGGTGTGTGGTGCTGGGTTTATCTGTGTCCTTAGCCTCCCTCAAGATACAGTCGCTGGCGGAACTCCAGAATCAGTGCTGAAAACGCTACTTCTCGGAAGGCTACATCTGAGTCTGCCTAACTCTCCAGGATGGCAAAGGAGATAGAAAGGGTGACAAACCCCACACCCAGGGACACCTGAAACCCTGTTCATATTGGCATGTATGACTACTGCCTTTCACGATTGGTAATGAAAGTCAGATCTTAGTATTGACCAGCCACTTGAAAGATGGTCACACCCTGTGTGGTCACATCCTGTTTCATAAAGAAAACCATTTCTAATATTCCATATACATTTTCTTTTTTAAAAAAAGATTTTATTTTATTAAGTGTATAGTGTTCTGCCTGCACATATGCCTGCAGGCCTAAGGAGGGCACCACATCTCATTGCAGATGGTTGTGAACCACCATGTGGTTGCTGGGAATTGAAGTCAGCACCTCTGAAAGAGCAGCCAGTGCTCTTAACCTCTGAGCCATCTCCCCAGCACCCCACATACATTTCAAATTGGGGAGAAATAATTACATACAGAAGTTACTGCAACAATCTTTAAATAGACACACGCGCGCGCGCGCGCACACACACACACACACACATACACACACACACGCACACACGCATGCAAGCGCGCACGCACACACACAGCCCAGCTGGATAATGATCTTATATCTTCTAACTGAAATGGCCAACTCAAAGCACACACTGGCTTTTACAATTGAAGACTAATATAAATACATTTAATTTATTTTTTGATACAGGGTCTCACTGTGTAGCCCTTGCTGGCCTCGAACTGTCTATATAGAGTAGCCTGGCCTCGAACTCACAGAGATTCACCTGCCTCTGCATCCTGGAGTCCTGGGATTATAGACACACAACACCACATACTTTATTTCTTAAAACTAGAAGGGTTGTATTCACATCAGTTTTTACAGAAAATGTGGAAGGAAATGTGAGCATTCTTTGGGTGTACACAACTATATGCCTTTGTGTGTCTTTCATTTTTCCTAATAACTTCTCTTTACTATGTAGCAGTAACACAATGAGTAAATAAGCTATATATATATTTATATAGGGCTGATTATACCATTCTATATTTATTTAGTTTGACATTCAACTACAGGTTTTAATGTAAACTTCAAAAACGGTATTTGTTATGTCCAATGTAATAAATACATAATTATTCCAGTCTTTAAAAACAATAGCCACCATTTATAGCCACCACTTCTACCAGAGCCCCCAGGAGACAGCCTATGGCTGTGAGGCTGTTGGTGTGTTGCTCTGATTCGCCTTTTCTCCAGAGTCAGAATGCTTCAGAAACTGACCAGTAGCGCCGATGTACAGTCTTGATCGCATGGGCCACTTCTGAAAGAAGAGTAAGAACCTGAAATTTAGTCTTATGACATACAACGTAGGTATATGATATCTAAACTTTAAAACACACTAATGTCAGTAAGGCGCTAATTAGCTGGTAAGGATTCTAATTACAAAGCCGATGGGACAAGGTGAAGACGGTTTAGCAATGGTAGCGGCACAAGCAGAGAAGGCTTTGCTGTAGCCGCATAAATAATAAACACGCGCGGTTGAGAAGCACTGCAGGAAGCTAAGGAGAACGAATATTGCTGAGATGTAGAAAACCTACCACTATTTAAATTCCAAGGTAAGCCTGAAACAAAATTAAGTTTAAAACATTAATTCTAAAGAAGCAGTGCTCAGGTATATACAAAGTAAACATTCAAGAAAGGAATTAGGCGGCCCCTGGGCAGCAATGGCCGGCAGCTTCACAAAGCAGCTCCTATTCTTCAGCGTGGGTTTCCTGCCTCACGGTGGGTGACTATAGATGACAGTAATGCACTTTATATTTGTTAATACGCACGAGGAAATGATTTTGAATACTTAAAGCACAAATGGGCAATGTCTACAAAGATGGACGTGAGGGTCTTCTGATTTGGACATCATACAATACGCACACACTGAAGCCCAGCACCGTATCTCAGGAGTATGTGAAACTTTCACGTCAGATGAAAATAAGAACGAAGGTAGGTGGCTGTGTGATGTCATCTGGAAAGTCACTTTTCCGGGGCAGCCAACGAAAGTTCTATCTCAGTTTCTCCAGGTATGAGTAGCGAATACAGTCCTGAATGTTTTCTCTCTGCTTAGGTATATTGATTTTACTGTCAGCTTGCTTTAAATCGTATGTATTACAAATTCATAGGCTTGCATGCAAAGTAATATACTTCAGTATGGCATCTTCAGCTGCAAGCATATGGTACTATGTTTTCTTCTGTATTCTAAAGTATACTTGAAATTGTGTAGTTTTGTTTAAACTTAGAAAAACTGAGCAATTAACCAGAACTGAACCTGAAATTGAAGATTTTTAAAAATGCCTTCTTATTCTAATTAAATGAGCCCAAACAACAAGACCCCACAGTTTCTAAATTCTTGCTCATCATTATTATGGACAGTGGATTCTCGTGGGACTTGGCAATTAGCAGAGTCATCTGTGCTTTTCTCCCCGAGTTAAAGGTCTGAAATACACTCCTGTTCTGGAGAATCGTCCCTCTGGGCCCCCAGTGCTGACTGAAATGTCTAATTTTCCAAGTGGATAAAAGTGGGTTTAAGTCATGCTGCAGGAGTCCTTTTTTTGAGTTACTTTTATTGTATATGCACTGGTGTTTTGCCTGCAGGTACATCTGTGTGTGAGTGTATTTCTATTGTATATGCACTGCTGTTGTGCCTGCAGGTACGTCTGAGTGTGAGTGTGTTTTATTTTCTATTCATTGGTGTTGTGCCTGCAGGTACATCTGTATACGAGTGTATTTTTATTGTATATGCACTGCTGTTGTGCCTGCAGGTACGGCTGTGAAAGTGTGTATCTTGAAGTTACAGTGTTGAGTTGCATGTGGGTGCTGGGATTCGAACCTGGGTTTGAAGAGCAGTCAGTGCCCTTAACCACTGAGCCATCTCTCCAGCCCAAAAGTCTAGTTCTTAAAACTGTCTTTCAGTTAACACACAGAACCCATGGCCTTGCAAACGTTAACCGTGAATTCCACCCCAACCCTGCCTTCCTCTTAAGTCTCCAATCATTTTAACACGCTCATAATACTGATGATCCAAAGTGACAGATGGGAATATCTGCTTAAATATCTTTAGTAACTTGAGTACTTAGTGCTGTGTCTTACAGGAAAACAGTGATTTCAGAACACCCACTAAGGATTCTATATGATAGTTTATAATAAGGCTTTACTTAACCTGAATTAAAAAATGCTCAGAATATTTTTATTATTTTCATATTAAGGACAGACTTAATGTTTAAAAATTTCTACAGTGTCCATAAAATAGAGGCAGGCAATCTTCAACTAAGTATGTAAAGTCTCTGTCTTCTGAAACATCACAGCTCATGGTTTAGATTGTTTTTCTTAGTAAATATAATATTCTTCTCTATAGAAACATACTGCAATTTATATTTTTTAGCTCTATATTGTATTCATTTAGGGCAGGGATTAAGTCTGTCTTACAGTTGTATTCTCTGTCCTAGAGCAGAGATTTTTACACAGTATTAAACCAAATGTTCGATTTTAAAACACACCCGTTCCCTGCTATCATCAATTTCATTGTTTTATGAGATAATCTTTGGCCTTCCAGAATTTTCTCTGGGTTTAGAAATTTAGATATTATGGTCATTGTCTTTTAAAATTGGACATCAAATTAGATTGATTTTCCACAAACAGTTGTGTCTACAGAATCGTTTGGCACATGGACCAAATACGAGGCTCGTTCTGCCCCTTTCCAGCTCGGACCTCTCTAGCGTTTCCATTCAAGAAAACCGCGGGGGACACTGAGGAGAAATACTTGACCTCATTCTAAATTTTATCAACTACAAGGGAGGCATTTCATTTCTACTTCTGGCCTTGAATCTTAACATCTAAATAAACTTTCTCGAATACATGGCAAATATCAAGTCAAAGAAATCTATTAGTGGGATATTTGAATAGCATTAGTCTAAAATGATTGTAATACAAAATTCTTAATTGCAATAAGCGACTTTTCAGCCAGTATGCTATAAAATTTAGGGACAGAATGGGTTCCATCATTATTATAAACAACATTTCACTTTTCCCCACTTACACTTGAACTGCCTTCTCTATCGCCGCGTCACCGGTATTTTCACAGAAAGTTTTCTGAAAATGCACTCCATAATTTTAAGTACAAATAATGTTAGAGAATGGGTTTTATTACATTTCAACAAAATGTAATTCCCCATTTTTTTACTCAATAATTTATTCAACGCTTAGATGCGTAAGATTACATTCTAATTGTGTGTATATGTGTTCATTTTCAGAATAGTGGAACAAAAATGTGAACATTTGAATTGAGCGAGCGTGGAGATTCTTCATTTAGAAGGGAAAGGCAGATCAAAGGAAGGTTTCAAAAAAAAAGAAATCCAGAAAAGATGATGTAAAAGCTACTATTTGCCACACTCATGACCGACTCATGGAGATGTAAGGAAATCGTGCAAAATTGTTTCTCTTGGCTAATTTGAATACAGACCAATTCACTCAGCATACATGTCAATCTAATACGACAGTTACATGAAACATTACGGGGTTTTTCTAACATTGTTGGTAGCCGTCTAGTCTATTTAACTGTGATTGAAATTTTACTCTATGGGAATGTAGAATGGTCTCATTTGTTTATTTATTATTATTATTATTTTACTGATTTTGACAATTTTGGGGGGGTTGTTTGCTTGTCTTTTTTTTTTAACAATTACTTAGGGGCAAAGATTTAATTTCACTATTCCATTTAACTTATGAAACCTTTGGAATAGTTCAAGAAAAAGACAATAGGAATGTAATATGGAAGTTAAGACACTTGACTCTTGAACTTAGATGTTACCAGTAGTTAGAATGAATAACAGCTTCCCCATCTGAGCAAAAATCTTTAAAAAGCTAGAGAGATCCCCGAGCCCAGCTAGGATCAAACGCCCCAGTTTCCTGATTACAAACTGTTAAGAACCAGCCTCTTGCACTGGGGACCTTGTCACCATCGCCCGCGGGCCCAGCCAGGTGTTTCTGCCTGATGGGGAGGAGTGCCAGCTCCGTGGCTTCTGTTCCCGCGGCGACAGGGTAGCTCCCGGGGTTCCAACCCGGGTGTTGCTTACCTTAACTGGATGCAGGTAGCCGTCGCCTCGCAAGGTGCCCAGTCTGGGGTCTCCTGGCGCCTCATTGTCGTCCTGCAGGCTGCGGGTGAGGTGGGCGATGTAGGTGGTGGCCAGCAGCAGCACGTCCAACTTGGACAGCTTGGTGTCGGGCGGCACCGACGGCAGTGTGCGCTGCAGCTCCAGGAAGGCGTGCCGCAGGGTCTGCACTCGGCTGCGCTCCCGAGCAGCGTTCGCAGCTGCAGGTCGGCCACCCCCGGAGCGCGGGGCGACCCCGCCGGAGCCTGTCTGCCCGGCGCCGGTCCGTCCCGGGCTCGAGTCT